AAAAAATATTGTAACAGATTGCAAAAATAAAATCACATTAATGTCAARCTACATTTTCCAAACTGCAGAGGTATCACCAAGGGAGCATTAATGTGTTCACAAAAGTGAAWTGTATCTATAAAAGTGAACACAAAGGGTACAAAAAAGTACCAGTGTTTAAGCTGCCATGATCATACCCTTCTAGGATTGACCTGAAGTGACAAAACCAATGTACTTTCTTTTAGGAAGTCTACTTTCCTGTACCTTGATTTCTAACCACCAGTCCATCAGATACTAAAGAAAAGGAAAGAGTCTGACACTAGAGTCAACGGTTCAATGACACTTGAAGACACTTAACACACTTTTCACTTTTATTTCCTTTGGTGGCAAAAACTGTTCTGGCAAAGAGCAATAAGTGAGACCTCGGGTGGAAAAAACTACTGGTAGTACATTTCTGTGTATTTGTTCTTGAGMAAATCTCCTTTTCACCACTACTGTTTGATGATAAAAATTACTTATAAGGACAAAAAATAATAATGTCTAAAACCTTTCAGAATAATGCTAAGTTTATCAATTCAGTTGTCAAAACAACTGTCAAACATGGGCAGGATATATAAACCTTTATTTTAACAGGTCAGGCAGTTGAGAACCAGTTCTCATTTACAATGATGACCTGGCCAAGTGGCAGCAACGCAAGATGTCAGAGATCAATAATCAAACAAAGACACAACACAKACAGCATAAGGTACCCTTAAATGTACTATAACAATAAAAACAAGGAAATAAGAAAAAGGAAATGAAAAAAAGAAAAACCAAAGCAAGTACTGTGATCTTGTACTACTAAATGTATAGAACTTTTAAAGGAGGAGATTTAAAAGTATGTTGCAGACAGTTCCAGTCATCTGCGGCASAAAATTGAAATGAAGAGCGACCAAAAGAGCTACAGGCTTTTCAGTCTAAGCCTGAAACAATGTAAATAATATTTCTAATGCGTTATCTGTGCATCAGGCATGGAACAGTGGGGGGTTAAAGATCACGCACAGACAACAGTAGTTCTGAAATGGCAGCAATCCACATTGACCACAGAACCACAGAGGGTCCACATTATCTTCTCTGCTCAGAGGTTGTGTAAATATAAAATCATTGTTACATATAAAAAATCATCAAAACAAGTCAAATTAATTTTTTTTTTATAACTTAGTTATCCTTTTTTTATTTTTTTCAAATATAAGTTTGTAGCTATTCACTTGRTATAGAGATAAAGGCTGAATGTGTCTTTGGGAGAGGTGGGGAGTAGGGATTGGGGGTGTATGTGTGGGTGGTGGGCAGGGGGCTCAACTTGGCTTGGAAGTAAGAAAGTGGGACTTTGAGGAAAATAGGTTGATAACCACTGTATTAGATCAAAATTAAACTCTCTCTCTCTCCAAACTAAGGTTGTTCAAAGAGATCTCGTAAGCAGGTAAGCTATTACGGTAATTGTTTATAACCTTGTTCAGAAMCACATTTCACAAGATCTGAATTCTCCCTTAAGTTAAAAATCAACTTGATCTTGACTGTTTGTGTCACTGTGGCCTGGCCTTCAACTTCAATGACAGCACAACACACCGTATCRGCCTTTTTAATCACAAATACTTTATCCATGTTGACATGTGGTTTAAGTAAGAACTGCATRTATGAAACTATTATTTCATCTCTAAACTTATGATTGTTTGGTGCAGGCAGTGATTGCTTTGTGGAGAGGCTTAAAGAGAGGTTAGTTGCTTTGCCCGTCGCCTAGAAGAGTAGCTAGGGCTAATCATCCTGATGAAGTTCGCGCAGATGTGTGAGCTGCCGACAGACTCTGCAGTGACACAAACAGCCAGCTTTGTCCCCCTGAGCCAGTCAGGTGATGAAAACCGGAGAGGCACGATGGGAGGGGGGGTGCTGAGAAACGACGGTCATTAAGCAAAACAGAAAGAGGTGAGAGAGGGTGGAGGATGAGGGGCTGTGTGCACGTTACAAAAGGGGGTGATGGACATTTGAGGAGGGGGTGCACAAAGTGTTACATAAAGTAACCATTTTCAAACCATCTTCTTATAATTCCCAATAAAAAATGTTGGTGCGCACATGTGCGGATGAAATCTTCTCATGAGGCACTAATCTGGCTGTATCCAAATGATGAGCAGACTGCCACTTAACGGGGAGGAGATCCACTTTGATCGCATGCCCCCAACCCCCCTCAGGGAAAACCTATCACGATGCCTATTACACTGCTCCATTTGCATATGTGGGGGCTTATAGGTTGGTCTGAGATCTAGTGCGGATATTCTTTACTGCGCCAGAGCTCAATATGGCTTGAACAGAAGCGATCAGGAGAGAAAGAAAAAAAAAGGATGGGGGCTTGGGGGCTTCCAGTCACTTAAGGTGCAGTAAGAGATGCCAACTTGTCACTTAAAGAACACAATTTTAGTGCAAGGCTGACATCTACATAATTAAAATGAACTCATTGACCAAAAAATTCAAGTGTTAGCTTTAAGTGAGACTTTTTGAATGGATATCAATCAAATGGCAAAAAACATCCAAGGCTACAACCCTAAATGTCCAGACCTAGAATTTTTCCAAGGTGATAAATAATAGTAATAAAGACTGGTACAAATATGCTATCTACATTTCAATTGTGTACTCCAGTAGATTAAATAATAACTGTGGGGAAGCTGCAAAGTGGGCATAAAGTGAACCAAGGCAGGTCTGATGTGGACCAGGGATGTGTGACTTCCATTTGGCCTGCAAATCTAAGAGAAGCTTTGAGTTCAGTTTTAAGTTAAAAACAAACTCTTTTGTGTGTGTGTGTGTGTGTGTGTGTGGG